CACAATTTGAGTTGAATTACTGAAATAAATGAACTTTTCCACGACATTCTAATTTATTGAGATGCACCTGTACACACACACACACACACGCACACACACACACACACACACACACACACTCCTGCAAAGCAGAGGCGCGTTTGTGCAGCACACCTCTGTCCTAGATAGATCTCTGTGGTTTTCCAGGTTTAGCAGCTCTATCTCTTCAGTCTGGGAAGATAAAACGCCTCCTGCTAAACATGTTCAGACGCTAGAAAAGCACCTGCCGCTCCACTGGCTGCAAAACACTATTTGATGCAAATTCACCAATTTCCTCCCTAGTGAACAAAAGGTAGAAGAGAGACGACTGCTTAAATATCACACCACAGCGCTCTGCTCTCCAGCAGCACGGCGGGAGATGTTATTATCATCGTCTGTGTGTTTAGCAGGATTTATGGAGAGACGTGCAGCACGTCTCAAATGGGCTGTAATTGCTGCTGAAGACTGTGTTCTTCTCAAAGAGCTTCTGATGCTGCTGGGAACTGTGGGAGAATGGCCTACAACCACAGACGCATCTTCAGCTCCGCTTTAACACTTCATGAACCCTCAGACGTCTGGACCTGAACGCACAGCCGAGCCGACAGGAGGAGTGATGGGAGAGACTGATGACAGACTCACGAGCAACATCTGAAACCTGACAGCAGCATCTGAACACATGGAACATGAACCATCAAAAACAGATCTGGCCATCGATCTATCTATCATCTGACCATATCCATCTGTTTTTACACATCCATCCATCCTCCGTCTATCCATCATCCATCTATCCAACATCCATCTATCATCCTTCCATCCATCCATCCAACATCCATCTATCATCCTTCTATCCATCCATCCGGCCATCCATCCATCCATCCATCCAACATCCATCCATCTATCTTCCATCCATCCATCCATCCATCCATCTATCATCCATCCATCCATCCATCCAACCAACATCCATCCATCCATCAAACATCCATCCATCATCCATCCATCCATCAAACATCCATCCATCATCCATCCATTCATTCATCCATCCATCCATCCTACCAGCATCCATCCATTCATCCATCCATCCAACCGACATCCATTCATCCATTCATCAAACATCCATCTACCATCCATCTATCCATCATCCATCCATCCATCCAACCAACATCCATCCATCCATCCATCTACCATCCATCCATCCATACAACATCCATCTATCCATCTATCCATCTATCCCTTTCCATGTGTCCATCCATCTGTCTGTCTACAGTATCTCACAGAAGTGAGTACACCCCTCACATTTTTGTAAATATTTTATTATATCTTTTCATGTGACAACACTGAAGAAATGACACTTTGCTACAATGTAAAGATGGAGGAGTGGAAGAGGACTCCAGTGGCAACCTGTGAAGCTCTGGTGAACTCCATGCCCAAGAGGGTTACACACAAATAATGGTGGCCACACAAAATATCGACACTTTGGGCCAAATTTGGACATTTTCACTTAGGAGTGTACTCACTTTTGTGGCATCTATCTATCTATCTATCTATCTATCTATCTATCTAGCCATCTATCCATCCATCCATCCATCCATCTATCTATCCATCTATCTATCTATCTATCATTCTCAGACTGATTTAACTGTTCTGAGGCAAATTCCACATGATGTCACTTCCTCATATTTGACACATATTCTCAGATTTCAGTTTCTCCAGGTCATCTTCCCTCTGCTAAAATATTCAGATTTAATTGAGCTTTTAATGAAGACAGCTATATTTCAGTCTCTGTTGATGAACAGTATTCCTGTTACAGAATCATAATACAGTTTTTCTCAGTCGCTTTGGTGCATTTCTCACATCACTATTTATGACAGATTTTGACAACTAGTTCAACATTTTTGTATGTAATGACTCAAGCAATGAAATGAGGACTATTAGTTTTATATGGAATGACTATTCAGCATTCACAAGTATAGTTAATTTTGACTGACATGACATAAGCAAATGATAATGTTATAAAACAGCAGAGAGTTGTATGAAAGCAATTGATGCATGTCCAAAAGCATTTGCAATTTGTTCGAAGGAATGAGAAACTGCTACTATGATGTGCACAAATGACTAAATGTTGTGGAGGTTGAACTAACTGTTGTGCAAATGTAAATAGTGATGTGAGAAATGCACCAAAGCGACTGAGAAAAACTAATATAACTTATTTTTTTACACATTGAACTTAATTTCTTTGTAAAAGGACATTATTATTTTTTATGAATGCCGCTTCACATGCTCATTATTATAAAGTGATGTTCACACAAAGAAGCTCAAAGTGATTGTAATTATTTTTAATGTCACACTATTAAAGCAGCCCCGTGTTCTTCACGCATGCCCCGCTCTCAGCCAATCAGCGCCGCCGCCTCGCTGTCACTCGGACGCCGGATCCAATCAAAACCCGGCGTGACGTCAGAGCCGCAGTGAGCGAGGATCGAGGGCGTGAGAGCGCAGAGCTGCTGCCGGATCAGAGCAGCACATGATCGTTTCGATCAGCCTCCGATTATTGATTGTGAGCGACCGGTTGATTGATCCATCATGTCCGCGCTGGAGGAGTACGAGCGCGCACCCAAGCGCCTGAAGGTGTCCGGCGAGGATGAGGAGGAGCTGGAGGAAGGCGAGGAGTCAGACTCAGCATCCGCTGGGCTCCCGGGTGACGATGAGGAGGATGAAGGGCAGAGCAGAGCGCGCTGGAGCTCCGCGGAGAGGAAGGTCAGAGCCGCATCACTCTCAATACTGAGCACTAGCATCATCAGCATCATCTGAGTAATAATTATGCAGAGAACATCTTGATATATATTCATTAATATATAGTGCATGATGCCAAAACACTGCAAAGAGAGAGAAGAGAGAGGAATCAGGAGATGATAAACAGGAACAGAGCCATTCAGTTCAGTGACATCAATAAGATGGAAAATACATTCACCACAAGATGAAGTGTCATGTTAGTATGAATTCATAAATCAAGCTCTTCAGCTTTGCATTCAGTGTAGAGAAGTCAACAGCAGTAAATATAAAATCACTGTCAAGTCAACAGATCAGCGCAAAATATATGGAGTGCAGTAATCTTTTTTTCTATTAAAACATGTAAAATAGCATATTAATAAATGAATTCACAGTCCAGAAAACAGTGTTCGCTCCACGTGTAAAGTAAGGATGGATTTATAATATGCACTTGACCTATTTTAACTTGTGCATGTTCCTGGTCTAATTGTGATTATAGTTAGTAAAAATGATCAGTTTTGTTAAATTAAATGAACATAAGGAAGCATTCTACCGGTAATCTTTTTTCTACTAAAACTTACAAAAACCTAATCTGTGAATAACGACACGATCACATTGTTTGGTCAGAATTTTAATAAATTAATTTACGTACAAGATAAGTGTTCACTACATCAAAAGCATGACTTCATCTTTTATATTTAACCTCTTTTAACTCCGTTTAAAAATCAGTTAGCATGTCGTGAAAACAATTCAACGCATGTTTTTTTTTGTTAAATGAACACAAAGAATTTGATAATTTTCATTTATATGCATAAACAGTAATCTGCTTCTTTCTTACGACATTCATGCAAAGTACCAGATTTGATCAGATTTTAATAAATGAGAGAATCAGTTTAATGCACACTCAGGTGTATGCCTGGTAAACAGACCGTTTGATATATATCAAAGTACCATAGTCGTAATGTGGTACTTTTTTGTTCCGGACAAACCGTCCGTTTAATTTCTACAGAGTTCCCCAATTAGACAGCTTTTGGTTATGTACGTAATTTCCAAAACATGCTAGTAATTGTTGGGCTGGTCCAATGGAGGTTGCTGGACCACTTCTAACGTTCCTCATTTTTTAATTTTTATTAAACTAAAATGTGACATCCTGCCAGTACCATGGTAATGTGTGGTAAACAACATCTCAGCTTTTTTAAGCATATAGTCTTCATTTTTGTCATCTGGACACATTGGCTCATTGGACTTATTCTAAGTGTGTAACCAAGAACGATAACTTTAAATTATAGCAGGATTGATTCTGATATTTTGAATCGTTCATCAGCTGGAAAATATTAGTTTCTCTGTGCCTTTATCGTTATAGCTGCGGTGTGGACGGTGCTATTCTTTAATAGTGAGAACGATTTGTAGAACTATATATTTATCGTTAATAGTTATCGTCCTTGGTGTGAACAGGCCTCAAAAAACATGAAAGTGCAAAATATCTAGTTTCAGGGACCATCCAGAGCCGACGTTAAAGTCCGTAAACGCACGTATAACCCAAAATGTGTTGTTCACAAAGATGCCACTTGCGCTTAAACCAAGTAAATAAAAAATAAAGACTGGTGATTGTGCACAGTGTTGGGAAAGTTTTAAAAGTAATGCACTAAATATTCCCTAAAAAAGTAACTAATTGTGTTTTTTTTCTCATCTGGGCTGCATGGGCTCATTTTTCGCTCTTCAGCATGAAACAGTTTTATCTAAAGTCAAATGCTTATTCGAATGGTTGAACTGGATCATCGAAACTCAGCAGCAAAGACATTGGTTAATAAAATGCGATTAAATACATAAAGGATCATTGTGTTATTTAACATAATTATTGCAGGTTTTGCAGATTCTGAGTTTGCATTTCACTGTTTTTATGCATTTTGAGAAATACTGAATCTGTTTCTGTTTCTGTGCGAGTGAGATGAGTAAACGCATGTTGACACTTAGTCTAGAACAACACCTCTGCACTCACTCCTGATTCTCTCAACATGAGCACAAGAGAGCTGTCAGTCAATACAGGAGAAACAAAGTATATCTGAAAAATATATTTTCTTATAAATTAAAAAGTAATGCGTTACTTTACTAGTTACTTGAAAAAGTAATCTGATTGCATAACTCTGGTTACTTGTAATGCGTTACCCTCAACACTGGTTGTGCATTATCAGGTAATCAAAAATTAGGAAATTTAAACATGCTCAAGTAACCAACTTTACAATTTTTGTTGCACTTGATCAAGTCCAATACACGCAATTTTAAAGCATCTTTATAGAAAGTTATATTAGAGCTGGATAATAATATAGTAACATTTGCGATGATATAAACAATCAAGCAGTTGAGATTTGCTACATAGTAGCCTATATATTGAGATGGACTGACCCAGGAAATACCATGGTATATTTCAGAACAACATACAGTATGAATGAATGAATGAATGAATGATGCATTTATATAGCGCTTTATTGTGTATTGTTGTACACCCAAAGCGCTTTACAATCATATGGGGGGTCTCAGTAGTATTAGTAATAGTAGTAATACAGTAGTATTTCATTTGTTAGGATCACTGTACACACTAGGACTCTAGTGCACACACACACACACACACACACACACTCACACTCACACTCACACACACACACACACACACACTCACACACACACACACACACACACACACACACACACACACGAGTGAGTAAACATCACCCGTGAAGTGTGTCTGATCCCATGATGCATCACTGCAGATCTGATTCACCCATTCACACTGACCATGACTGCATCTCTAAATCACTGGACGATGTTTCTGTCTAATGCAGGACTATCAGAGTCACTTTAAAGCGAGTGATATCAGATTGTCCGAATGTGTGTGTTCACAGAGGAAGCGTTTGACACCCTGCTGTCAGCTGTCTGGAGACGTGGTTTAGTTTCCTCAGTGTTTATGGTCGCACCTGTGAACTCATGTGGGCGAGTTGATGACCTCGCAGTGTACAGTGTACAGTGATCCTAAATGTTATTTAACGTGACATTTTTAGAAACTGGAGAGCAGTTACCATAAAAGGAGTTAGAGAGCAGGAATGAGAACTGAATCACGAGTCATTTATGAAAGCCGTTCGCTTTGAATGTCCTCAGCCGTCAGACGTGATGCTTTTTGTTTGTTTTTAAAATGTTGAGCATCAGGCACTCGTGAGGTTTCACATACTGTACAAGTGTTCAATGCGTGAAATCATGACTCTGTTTACTTTATTAGTGCACGTTCATGCTCTGTTTATTATCATTTGCATTTACATGCACCGGTGTGACTTTAAACAGTAATGTATGTTTTACTAAACCATTTTAATATATGAAAAATACCACAACTGTGTCTGAATTAATCTGCATACATGATAACAGCGTTCGCTCTACATCTGAAGTCAGCATGAAATCATAATTGAGCCCTATTATTTTAATAGAACGTGTTCCCGGATTAATTGTATGTGAAAAGTGTGTAGTAAAAATAATCAAAGCATGCTTTAAATTAACTGAACATGAGAAAGGATGATATTTAATCATTTATATGCACAATTATGACAGTAAACTACTTTTTAATAAATCATGTTAAAATATTATCACATCTGTGAAAAATGACAGTCACATTTTATTTTAATCAGTAAATTTAATTGTACACTCAACGTTTAAAGTAAGCTTGAATTTATAATTTGTAATTGACCTATTTTAACTTACTAGTACATGTGCCTGGTTCCAAAATCATGGTTAATTATGTAGTAAAAATACTTTTCTAATTAAATGACCACAAAAAATTGTATTCATTTTCATTTATATGCATAATCTGTAATCTACTTTTTACTAAAACATTAAACATATTTATGTGATACCAGATGATTCAAACACATTGAATTGTAGTTGTAAGTCAGAGAATCAGTTTATTGCACATGCTTAATTTGAGCTTGTTTCATATTGACTTTTAATATGATCTCTAGAAACAGTGTGTGTGCGTGCATCTCATTCATTGTTTTCTTGACACGCTCTGTGATAGAACTGTGTGTGATTGAGTGTGTTCACAGTCCAGACGCTCAGAAAGAGACAGACAGATATAATGGCTTCAGTATTATGCCTAGAGCGAATCGCTCAGCTCTGAGGAAAGTTCCTCTTGATGATTGGAATACTAAGTGGCTTTTATTGGCTGGTTTAACTGTCTGATCTGAGCGATGGTTGCACATGTATGTGAGTCGCTGCTCTCGGCACGTCACTGGGATCTCAGCGGGATGATGGGACACGAGCAGCTAAACGGGGTCACTGTGGTGCTGATAGGAGGCCGACCTGCTCTGGATCATTCTGTTCTGCTGATGAATTATGGGTTTTGATGTATTATATGCCATAACATGCGCTGCTGTAACATTAAAGGGGTCATATGATGCTGCTAAAAAGAACATTATGTTGTGCAGTGTCTTCACGACATGGTGGTAACAACAATACTACAGCGAGAATAAAAGTTACGCCTTCTTTCTTTGCGTGAACATTTGGGCGGCGTTATGCAAATCTTCCCACATAGTGATGTAGACATGTGGGGGCGTGTTAGAACGAGACGTTTTAGGGGGCCGTGGTTAACTCTTAACTTTTATAAAGAATATCTCTTTGGATTTGAGACTTTAGTCTTTGCAACTTTACAGATCTTCTTTATGCACCAAGAGCTTGTAACACTCCAAAGAGAAAGGAAGACTTGAAATCGCATCATATGACCCCTTTAAGATGCTACATGCAAAAACATTGTGTTTCATGGAGATTTTGTTTTGTTCTGCTACCATTTTGAAGACTAGTGGAAAGATTTGTGTGTTTTTGCACTTTATCTATCTATTGAAATCTGTAAATTTCAATTTCAATCCATGTATTTAAAAGATTTCTCCTCCACTTCAGCAGCACTTACAAACACCAAAACTTAGAGTTTTATTCCTCTCTATATTCTGAAG